AAACTGTACAGAGTCGTTTCTTTTAGGCATTTCCATATACAGTTCAAAAATGGGAGAAAGCGGATAGTAACCACGCTCACCTCCCATACAAAGGTTATGTTGAAAACCACTAAAAGTGCGTTAACCGACTAACAAAAAACGTCAGAAACACTAAATTTTATGGAAGAAATGTCAGAAGAAAACTGCATCCAGACCTTGTTTAAAAATTGAAAATGGGCGTCCCGTCGCCCACTTATGGACCAAAAACCTTATCTCAGGAAGAACTCGATCGATTTCAAGAAAATTCCGTATATAATATTTTCTTAACACCCTGATAACACGTACGGTTCACAACCACAACCACGCCTGAAATCTCGATTATCACTTTATCATGCGAGAGTATAAAATATTCGGTGACACCCGAACTTAGCATTTCCTTACTTCTTTCATATTAAGTATAGTATAAATCACACCCGATATACTGCTTAGTAAGTCAATTATGCTTAATTTTATCACACCCGATTTGTAAGTCACAGCTGACTAGACGCCAGAACTCAGTGTTTGGCCGGTCGAACTTGACGACGTTTTCACATACTTTGTATATGTTGGCGTGTAATTTTTTTTTTATCAATCGTAAAGAGCTTTATTTACAACAATAGTGTCTTTGGTGACCCCCACTGAAATTTTCGGCCAAACCTTTTCGTAGAATATTTTAATCCTTAAATGTCCTTTTTTAAAAGATATTTTTTGATTTTCTCGAAAAAAGGGTCAAAGTGACCCATAAAGAAAACAGTTAGAGGGCTAAGATCTTCCATAAAGATAATCCTTATACAATTCCACAATACAACTCTGACCATAAGAATTCTCTCAGACATTAACTTACAACATTTTTTCATATAGTATAATGTTCCCTTCGACCAAAAAATGAAAACTTTGACCCGTTGTAAAAAAAACTCAGACGTGCTGGACCATAAGTTTGTTCTACAAAAATGATATACTCAACAGACCCTTTCAGAATTATGGGGTCGCTATTCTGTTCCATTCAAAAAGTCTTCATTTGTTGGACAGAGTCCGTTGTGGTTTAACGTGAGTTCCTGCCTGCGAAGGTCTAACCCCACGGTGCTTTCTATTGTTAGAAGTACATAGATCAAAACAATGCGTTGATCAGCGCCCCAAAGCACAAGTGCATGCACCTACACTCATACTCTGGAGAACCAAAGCATRAGTGCCGCCACATACACTCATACTCAGTTTCCAATTGGTTAGGGTGTGTGTTAATGTCCACCCTTAGCCACCTTGGTCGGGTACGAGGCCCATCTAAAACCTCT